ACAAAATAATTCCAAACATATAATCATCAAAAGTTCAAAGAAATAAAACATATTTAAAGGACAAGAAAAATAACCCTTGACTACCCACCTCTCTCGATTTATTTATTTATCTTATCTCCTATTATTTTATTTCCTAATTTTTATTTATCTTTTTATTTATTTAACTCAGGGATCTTTGATCCCTCAAGTCAGTATCAAAAGCAAACCCCAAGTCGAACCAGGGGCTCTGATACCATTTTATAACACCCCAAATTCTAACAATTTATAATAGCATAAATAAATTCAATAATTTTATAAATAACAGCGAAGTTCAAAATAATCAAATTTGGGAAGTGTTACCGCCGCACTTGTACAGGGACAAGTGCAAGGCTAACTCTATACATTTAAATCAAAATCTAAGACTATAGTTTTTTTTTATACATAATATTTATGACAGCTAGAAATCCTGAGTCGTATCCTCACTGCCCACTGCTAGCCCGATTCCTTGCCACCTGATTTACTGAAAATCTGCTCCCTCGCAGCCACGCAGGATCATTGCAGTCAAACAAACACAAAAGTCAGCAAAACTGATAATCCAAATCCGATATACAAAAATAAATAAATAAATATAACTCATAATAATCCAATAAAATAATATAAATCAAAAATTCAAATCAAACATCAACATGTTATTAATTTATTTAATCTATTTATTTAATCTTTATTTCACATCAGTTTCACATCGGAGGCATAAAGCCCAAAATTTGTGTTCATCACCTTGGGAGGTACCATCCCAAAGCTATCCTCCCACTATTTAATTATTTACAATCACACTCAATCATCATATCACATTTGAAAATTTCTTCTTTCAATATATCGATTACTCAAGGTCATCATAACTTCCATATTTATTCAAGGATATAATAATTCAAATCTTCAACATTTATCATAGTAAAACCCAAATCTAATCATCGTCATTCATACAATCACATCACATCAATTATCATAATTGTTCAATCATAAAAATATGAAAATTCAATCATATCCATTTATTCTCAAAATAAAAATTCTATTATTTTCCAATAAAAATTTCCTAAATATCACATGTAATAATTCGAATTTAAGAATCGTGATATAAATAATTTCATATAAAACTAACCTAAGAACACCTAGAGATTAGGATTACATATATCAAAATTCATATCAATATAACCTATGACTCTCTAGGGATTGGGATTACATATATCAAACATATAACTACCTAAAGATTAGGACACACCCAATAAAATTTCATACACAACAAATCTACAACCACCTAGTGATTAGGATTACCTGGTCTCTGTTTTCGTTAACTTCTAGAAGAAAAGAGTAATTTGGGGCAGAGAATCGGTTGGTAACCAGAAAAATATAAAATAAATTAAAATAAGTTTTTGAACTAAGAAGAGAGAATAGTAGAGGAGAAATGTTGAAGAGTGAATTGGTTTGGTAAACCTCTATTTATAGTTGAAGTTTTGGGCTCAGATATGGGTTTCGTGCATTTATTTCCTTTTTCTTTATTGATGTATCTGGCTCAGATTTTGGCTTTATACATTATTTTCTTTTTATTCTTAATTTCTTAGAATATAACTAACTTATTTGCTAACTCAAAGCTGACTCATGATTGACTCATCATATCTAATCAAATTCCTAATCAATCATTACTAATCAAACATAAATACATAAATCATCAATCAATTAATAAATCACTTAATTATAATTTATTATCTAATATATATATATATATATATATATTTATATTTATATATTATTTTATTATAAATAATCTAGAGTATTACAAAGTATCAAAATTATTTTCCAATAACACTTATATCGAACATATATCGCACAAAATTATTTTATCAAAGGTAAAATTTATACTTTGTTATCTATCACCATAAAATTTATATTATTATTATTTTATTATTATTATTTTGATTATTTTCTTAATAAAAATGTGGGGTATTACACCTAATCCCTTACAGAGATTTGACGAATTCCTTCAGCTTATCACCCTAGGCCTGTGCTCTTTTAGGACATGTCCAAAAGTATACCTATGAGTCTCCATGTTTCAGGAAGACGAGTATACAATCAAAACATGCCTTCTAGAACACAATCTAGGTGATAACTTATGGTCTAAGAAAAGACATACCCAAATATTAAGAGACTGTTCTAATGATACTTTTGGAAGATTTCCTCATATAGTCTCTTTGTGGGTCTATTCAGTGCGAGCTATACCCTTATAGGTCCACCCACGACTTTAGCTAAGACATCTCCATATCTGTAACTCATGAGGTCTTTACCTTGCATCCGAATACAAGTAGATAAGTCGTGCTAGTCTTATCCGAGATCACTGATCCCCATTCTCAGTGTCTCTAGACTAGGAACATAAAATTAGGAATAAACATCCAGTATCCTTGAATCCGTATGATCGTGATCTCATCACAGATACTCAAGAGATACCTATTTTATTCCAAGGGGTTCATCCAGTTACTCATATAAAATATTAACTATAATATTAAGACAAAATATGAAACAGGATAAAGAGTGATTTTTATTTATTTGCGACAATATAAAAGGTCCACATATGTCCTAATCTATTCAAAAGATTGTCTCTAGGACATCCATATACTAACAGGTACTTCCCTTATGATGCACAAGAGAGGAAGCAGGGGGAGTTCGACAGGTTGGTGCAGGGCTCGTTGTCTGTTGACGAGTACCTGGCCAAGTTTAATGATGTGGAATAGCTTTTCCAAGTAACTAAATTACCTTCCACGAAGGTGAAATAGCCTAATGTGGAATGCCTTGTTGTTTTATCTCCAACCCAATCAAAGTCAGTGTACCCTTCAACACATGTGGCATTGTTTTTTGAGAACAACAATCCTCGGCCAGGGGCACCCTTTAAGTACCTCAGAATTCGGTACACTACATTCATGTGATCTACGCTTCGTTTGTGCATAAAGCGACTTACAACACTTATGGCATATGCAATATTTGGCCTCGTATGAGACAAGTATATCAGTCTTCCAACCAACCTTTAGTACTGACTAATATTTGCTGGCTTTTGATTCGGAAATATTCCAAGCACATGATTCATCTCAATCGGTGTTTCTGTTGGCTTACACGTGAGCATTCCAGTCTCAGTGAGGAGATCTAGTACATATTTCCTTTGTGAAAGATAAATACCTTATTTTGATCTTACTATCTCAATTCCCAAGAAGTATTTCAAGTCTCCTAGATCTTTCATTTCGAATTCACTTGCTAGTTGCTTTTGCAGAAGTTTCATCTCCTGTCAGGACCATGTCATCTACATAGACAATCAATACAGTCACTTTTCCTTCCTTGTGTTTAATGAACAAGGTGTGGTCAGTATTGCTTTGTTTATATCCGAATCTCCTTATTGCAGAAGAAAATCTCCCAAACCATGCTCTAGGGGATTGTTTAAGTCCACATAAGGCTTTCTTCAATTTACAAACTTTATTCTCACTAAAAGAACTTTGTTTGACACCTGGTGGTATCTCTATGTACACCTCTTCTTCGAGGTCTTCATTTAAGAATGCATCTTTTACATCAAATTGTCGTAGTGGCCAATCTCTATTTGCAGCTATGGACATAATTATCCGGATTGTATTGAGTTTAGCTACTGGTGCAAAGGTTTCTTGGTAGTCTACTCCATACTTTTGCGAGTATCCTTTTGCCACCAATCTAGCTTTGTACCTGTCAATGCTTCCATCTGCCTTGAGCTTTACAGTAAACACCCACTTACATCCAATGGTTCTTTTGCCATTTGGTAAGGGCACGAGCTCCCCTGTAGAGTTCTTTTGCAAGGCCTCCATTTCATCATTCATTGCCTTCTTCCAATTCAGATCCTCCAATGCATCCTGCACATTACTAGGGACAGATATACTGGACAATTGATCATCAACAAAAGCATATGACTCAGACAACCTGTGATTAGACACATAGTTACTAATATGATATTTAGCTTTAGCATTGGGGTCAGGTTCATACAGTTCCTTTAGGACACCCTTATTGATCCTATGTGATCTTCTGAGAGTTACGTCACCAGAATCAATCATGGTTTTAGTAGGAATAGCAGGAAACACAATGAAACTTTCAGTGGGTAGAATATCATTCTGAAAGATATTTTCTTCAAGAGGAGTAGGATTAAAAATTACCTCTGTTGGATTAGGGTGGTCCCGAAGAGATCCCTCAGTTTTTGGTGTTAAGCAAGGTATTTCTGCTGTTATCGAAGAGTCAGAGTGTAAGACTTCAACATTCTCCACACCTGTATATGTTGCTTCAGTTCCTCCTCCATTCAAGGTGGCTAATTGGTCTTGCTCTTCATAGTAACTCTCCCCCTGAAGAGGAGACCCAGAAACTCCCCCTGAATAATAAGGTTCAAATTCCCGAAAAGAGACATCTAAAGTGATATGTATTTTTTTTGTTGGGGATCATAACACCGGTATCCTTTCTGAACATCAGAGTAACCAAAAAACACACATCTTTTAGCACATGGATATAGTTTGTTACGCAGTACTTTGGGAATATGGACATAAACAGTGCAGCTAAACACACAAGGCTCAATATTGGGAATATGGGAAACTGAAAGTATTGATTCAAACTTATGTTGCTGAGTCACAAAGTTGATGACACTAGAAGGGGTACGATTAATCAAATAAACAGCAGAACGAACAGCTTCACCCCAGTAAAAACGGGGCATATTCATGCCAAAGAGAGAAGCACGAACAACCTCCATAAGTTGTCTATTCTTCCTTTCGGCCAAACCATTTTGCTGTGGTGTATAAGTACAAGAAGTCTGACGTCTAATTCCCTTGTGATTCAAGAAATGCACAAAAGATTTATCTGTATATTCGATCCCATTATCAGACTGTAAAATTCGGATCTGGCATTGAAATTGAGTGGCTACCATTCGGCGAAAGGTTTGGAAGGCTGTAAATACATCACTTTTCTTATGCAACAACATGACCCATGTCATTCGAGTACATTCATCTATAAATGTCACAAAGTATCGAGCTTTAGACAGGGAAGGGACACCAGCCGGTCCCCAAACATCCGAGTAAACAACTTCAAAAGGAATTGAACTTTTATTACTACTAAGAGAATAGGAAATACGATGGCTTTTTGCTAGTTCAGATGTGTTACAATAGAAATCATCAATATTCAACTTGAAAATAATCTTGGATGTAATTTTTTCAAATAGCCAAAAGAGAGATGTCCTAGTCTTTTATGCCAAAGCCAAATTGTTTCCCGAGCCTTATCTTCACTACTGGCATGATTAACCTCTCCCAATTTATTCTGTCTCTTTCCGGTGACATCCAGATAATAAAGTTTGTCTCGCTTAACACGATAGCCAAGAGTATTCCGAGTGGAAATGTCCTGGAACACACAAAATGAGGGCCAAAAGGTGGCAGTACAGTTCAAGGTATTAGTAAGTTGTGCTACAGAAAGTAAGTTATATTCAAGGGAAGGGACAAACAAAACAGAAGTCAAATGAAGATGTTCAGACGGGATAAGAGATCCTTTACCAGTGATAGAAGAGGTACTACCATTAGCAGTAGAAATGAATGATTGGGAAGAAGGGAAAAAATAATGCAACTTACTAGAATCCTTTATCATATGATCAGAAGCTCTAGTGTCAATTATCCAAATATCATCTCTAGAACATGCAGGGAAAAAAGGAGTTTTACCAACAGTACCCGAGTAAGCAGCATTGGTAGTGGACTATTGGGGACTTTCATCAGAGGTAGAGGCCATTGCTTTGATGTGAGATTGATTTCGCAGTCCCTTTGCTAGATTAGGATAGAGGCTCTGATACCATGTTAAAAATCAAAGAACTCTATAGAATAGTAATTCATTTGTATTTCTTCTACCTCAATAGAGGTCATTATATACAAAGTCCTAGAGTTACAAATCAGACATAAATCAGGCTACAAATCAGCCATAAATCTAGGAAGAAAATTACAATTAATCAGGAAATTAAATCTCATAAAAACTCTCCACATAATTCCTACAATCACTCCATGTAACGGTTTCTCTTTAATTGCTACATAAATTGGTCAATCAAATCAGAAATTAAATCTTTCCAATTATAAAAAATATACAACTCAACAGAAAGGAATCAAATTAAAATAGATTGGGTTAATAATAGCCCAATGCAGTAATTGGAGTTGCGTAAATTTTACACTACAAAAGTGTGCAAATATTAAGATATACTTAATAATAGTTATATTTATAGGATGAGGATTAATGCTTTTTTTTCTTCTTTTTTTCTTTATTTGTTTTTATAATTCATTTTACTTACTGTGTGCTTGAATTTATCTTCAATAAAATTTTGTAGTCAAAATATTTCAATTAGCTAAAATTATGGTTTTTGTGTAATAGATGTACGCTCCAGACATAAACAAGGATTTTACTTGAAATCTATCATCCCCTGTTTGCTTCTCTATAAACGTGACAAAAATGCATTTATTTCAAACACTATAACAGAATTAACAATTTAACATACTTCTCAAGCAAAATATTGGGGTTAAGTTCTTATCTTTCGCTAATTTCAAGCCATCTCTCCGGCCTGTAAGCTCTGCAGCACAATTTGTATTTCTCTTTAGCACCCTGGACACAAAATTTCTTTTACTCCAAGTACTAAGACTCAGTCTATGATTAATGTTATACGAATCTCAATTATTTGTACTTATAGTAAAAGAGTATGTACTACAGGTTATTAAAGATTTATGCGGGCCACGCTTCCACATCATCACGAAATAATGTCAGATTCTTAACGATGCAGTTTGTCCAAACTTGCAAGTTGATTACAATGTCTTGTGGTTCATAATTCAATCTTGAAAGCTATATGCACTAATAGTCCACTAGCCACAGTTGTTGGAATATTCATTCCTTTTAACCCTACGGTGATAACCATCACCTACAAGGTAAGATCCATCATATTAAATTATAAAAGAATTTAACAAAAAGGTGGAGGAGACATACTTGTCTCCATAGCAGTGGAATTATTTCGATCTTCTTTGTTAGGGTATGCGATCTTTCTTTGATCAAATAGCCTAAATCCTTATTCTTTATTATGATATTATCATTTGAGGTATACGATCTTCCTCAGTCAAATAGCCATAATCCTTATTCTTTAGTGTGCTATCTCTCTCTTGATGGGGAAGAGAAACTAGAATTGTTATTTTTCTATTTGACATATTGGGGACCATAACCCTTCATAGTGTTTTCTTTATTGTTGGAGTAGTAAACTCTCATTATGCCTTGTTGGCCCAACACTGATATCCACTTACTTAGAAATTTATATGGACATCTTTATTTGATCACCTTAATTTATCCAATATAAATTAAATAGCATAATATAATTATTAATACAATATGTAGCCCACAAACACGTTAGGAAATATAATTTCCTAATAACATTGTTAACTACTCTCAACAAGTGGTTAACATCAACTCAAAAGTGTTCAAAGAAACCTCATTGCTCTCTTTTGCCCTTTTTCCATGGCTGGTCGACAAATGAGAAGAAAGAAGGAGAGTGAAGTGTGTTGTTTTGTGCCTTTCTTTAGTCACTTAAGTGAGTTGTAATATCCAAGTAAGCATAAACTTATGTATCTCATTCACTTAACTCTCTTTCAAACTTGACATTTTGATTTACAATATTTTTGTGGGAATATTCACTAATTCATCTTTAAATTTTGCGTAACTTTGTCTGCCCGCATTTTTATCCCATAACTGAAACTATTCACACTTTTCTCCAAAAGGTAATTTTTTTTATATGAAAATTAGAATTTCCATCTAATTATTCCCTCTAATCATTAATTAAATTCCTGAAATCACAATTTAGTGGTTCGGTTTATTATAAAGCCTACAGGTTATGTTGACTATTCTCTCTCTTATTGTTCGGTTTATTATAAAGTCTATAGGTTTGGGGACTATTCTTTCTCTTATTGTTATGTTGTTATTGTGCACACATACAACTTCTTTGGCTACACCATTTTTCCTAATGCACACTGATCTGTTACCCTCAGGGGGCGTTTGGTACAAGAGAAATTTTTATTTGTCCGGGAATCTCAATTTTTAAAAATATGATTTTTGCATTCAGTTTACGATAATATCTGAAAATTTAAAATTTAGAAAAATTCAATTTCCCGGGAATCCCTCAAAATCCCGCGTACCAAACGCCCCCTCAAAGATTTGTTAAGGCAACAAAGCCCTTAGATCCAAGATGGACTCACTAGTCTTTAATTAAACATCTTTATCCGTAGGATAAAACATGGCATGACCACATAGGCAATAAAGCTCTACCTAAGAGAGCTGCATACCCATGATTTTTATTTAAGACCATTGAGTAAGTTAAAACAATCTAACTTAGTGATTAGTAAGAAAAGCTTCTGAATCACGATTAAATGAAAAAAACTCGTTTAATTTCAAATTAAAAATCACGGGCAAATCTGACGGTGAAAATTTGATGTTGAGGAAATGAAGTTAACCATGCTGTTACGTATAATTTAAAAAACGAAAGGTGAGATTCAATTGACATCACAAGATTTTCCAAATAGTTTGTCGGAAAAACACGATACTTAACGCACGGAAATAATTGGAGATTAACTGCTCCTTAACAGTAAAAATTTTAAGTGCTATCTTGTTTTACTCTTAATTGCAGCGCACCATTTTTTGTTTCTTGTTACTTTATTGAATCTGTGTTGCGATGTGAATCATTGCTAGAATTTTTTATTTTCATATTATATAACATTCCTCTAAATAAATACCCAAACCCTTCTCTATTTCTTATCAAGCAAACAATCAAAAATGTTACTTCAAACATTAGCTATCCCTATTGCACTCCTTGTGATATTCACATTCATTCTTCATCAGAAACAACGTCAAGATTAATTATGTGAAACATGCACCAGGTCCAAAGGCCTTGCCAATTATTGGTAACCTCCACATGTTAGGGAAACTACCACACCGCAACCTTCAATCCCTTGCCTTAAAATATGGACCCATAATGTCCTTGAAACTAGGACATGTCCCAGCCATTGTGGTTTCTTCCTCTGAAACTGCAGAGCTATTCCTCAAGACTCATGACACTGTTTTTGTAGGCAGGCCTAAACTTCAAGCAACGGAATCTCTTGTTCATGCAAGCAAGGGCTTTGCGTTTTGTGATTATGGTGCCTATTGGCGCAATGTTAGGAAAGTGTGTATTATACAACTTCTGAGTGCATCAAAAGTTGAAATGTTTGCACCTCTGAGGAGGGAGCAATTGGGACTATTCGTGAAGTCACTTGAAAATGCTGCAGCATCACGTGAGGTTGTGGACCTTAGTGAGTTGGTGGGGGAGCTTATAGAGAATATCGTGTATAAAATGTTATTGGGCTATAGTAAGGATGACAGATTCAACTTGAAGGACCTTGTTGCTGAAGTAGTGAACTTGATTGGAGCTTTCAATCTAGCAGATTATGTGCCTTGGCTAGGTGTGTTTGATCTTCAGGTATGATATTCAACTACATGTGCTTCACACTTAGCATCTCATGCCTTATTTTAACCTCATCATATCATGTGAAAATTTTCTATTATTTATTTATAGATCAACGATCAATAATTAAAATAATTATTTCCTTTTACTTTTTTTATGAATTTTGTCACTAAAATTACGACTGTTAGATTGTGGTTGATATTTTTCACATAACATGTAAATATTTAAACATACAATGATACACTCTTGATATCTGGCCTTTTCTTATTCACTATAATTCCTGGTATCCAAGTTCTCCACTTGAAAGGGTAAGGATAAAAGTCGATTGTTGGTATCCTTACCTTTTTTTATAAAGAGGCTGTTTATCAAACTCGAACTCATAACTTTTTGTTCACAAGGAATACCATTATCATTGTTCCAAATCTCGCCCTCTATTGGACTATGTTGGAAAGATAATCATAAATAAACCTTCATATAATAATTTGAGCTTTTAGGTGATATGGTTGTTTAATATGGCGTCAAAACTTCCGTAATCACGAGTCACGAGTTTGAACAATACTAACTCCACCTTATAGTAGAATTAAGTCAGCGTAAAGTAAAACCGAAAAAATGAACTTGTGTATTATACACGCCTTGCGTGAGAGACTATTTCTTATTCATTGCATGATTTCGTATTATTCTACACATGAAGTAATGAAATATTATATATGCAACCATGGCCATTTCAGGGACTAAAAAGACGATTAAATAAAGCAAGTAAGGCGTTTGACCAAGCCTTGGAGCTGATTATCAAAGAAAAAGAGCATTCTTCTCATGACAAAGAGAAAGAACCTCACAAAAAGGACTTTGTGGATATATTGCTATCACTTATGCACCAACCCATGGATCCCCTGGACGAACAGAAAGTAATTGACAGAACAAGTATCAAGGCAATTATATCAGATATAATTGAAGCATCATTTGAGTCATCTAGTAGTGTTGTTGTCTGGGCTATGTCAGAACTCTTGAGGCATCCAAGGGTGATGAATAGACTTCAAGATGAGTTAGAAAATGTAGTGGGGATGAATAGACAAGTGGAGGAGACTGATTTAGAAAAGTTACCTTACCTGAATATGGTGGTGAAAGAAACCTTAAGATTATATCCACTTGTACCTTTACTACTGCCTCGGGAGTCTAGAGAAGATGTTATTATTGATGGCTATTACATAAAGAAAAAGACAAGAATCATAATAAATGCATGGGCAATTGGGAGAGATCCTAAAATTTGGTCACATAATGCTGATGTGTTTTATCCAGAGAGATTTGTCAATAACAGTGTAGACATCAAGGGAAATGACTTTAGACTTATACCATTTGGTTCTGGCCGCAGAGGGTGCCCTGGGATTCGTTTGGGTCTAATTACTTCTGAGATTGTTCTAGCTCAATTGGTGCATTGCTTCAACTGGAAACTTCCATTAGGCATGTCTCGTCATGATATAGACATGACAGAGAGATTTGGCCTCACAATACCAAGAAGTAAGCACTTGCTAGCTATGCCTATTTATCGACTAGTTGGTGAAGTTAGAAAGGAATCAAATTAAAATAGATTGGGTTAATAATAGCCCAATGCAGCAATTGGAGTTGCGTAATTAATCAATTGATAAAAACATTGTATGTAAATTGCAAAAGACAGCTAACTGAAATACCTCATTAATTAAACAGCATAAATATGTCTCTAGTCACGGAACTACAACACGTAGACCGGACAAATCCTGATAGTTTATATAACTCCAACTAAAAGTACTAACAACCAAGTGGCATGGACAAACCCCATGCTCACCCAAATAAGGCAACAAAGCCCAACATAAGTCTCAACTCAATAATCATAAATGGCAGAAAACATAAACAGCATCCAAATCCAGTCATGCCAGCATAAATATAAGTAGCAATAATCATCAACTAAGCTCCGGCCTTGTGCCGCCAGAGGCATCAGCCCCCAAATTACCTGAACCTGAAATAAGCGTCCCCAAACGTGGGGTGAGATCTCTAAACAAGAAATCTCAGTAAGACAAGGGGTCCTCAAGGATCTTCCACCCCAAGCTCACTTACATGTGCAATATAAGTTCAAAAGCAGTTTAACAATATAATTTCCAAAATAGTGCAATGCAACAGATAATCATGTCATGTGTGTTAATTCTATTCTACTGATCAGAGAAATGCAGGAATACGTCTATTACCCACACAATATGCAAGACGTTACTTGCACCCACCCATGGGCTCACCATCTTGTATGACGCTACATACTCAGGCTTACCGACTAAGTGGAAACAACACATACATATTATAAGCCATTGCACATACCAGCTCAAAAGCATTTCAAATATTCAAAGCATGTAACACAGCATGCATATAACCATACCCCAATGGGACATGGTGGAACCACAACATGGCTAAACCGAGGACACGAAAGCTTACCTTGCAAGCTAACAATCCAAGCCAAGAGTCCAACCAAAGCTCAATGTCCAAACACTACAGAATCACAATCTGATTTGGACCAACAATCATATCAATAAACATAGCTCATAAGCATAAACATAAAGACAACGCTTCTCTTTACGTTTTACGTCTTAAGGCTTCTAACAAAGCCATAAGCCCTTAATCACTTGATTCTGACTTAGTTTAATTAATACAGAAGTTCAACTTCATCAATCTAGGGTCCACAAACCCCCAATAGCCTACTGTATGAACAGTGCAGCTACTGTTCTTCGAAATCCCAGAATATCCGGATATTTGTCGGGGACATATCCGGATATCCATATTCAGATATCAAAAGACCCCATATCCGAATATCAGTATCCGGATATCATATCTGGATATCAATATCCAGATACCCAAATCCGGATATTTCGCGACAGAATGCAGTTTCTGTATTTCGCGAAGATATCCATCCAAGGTTCCATTTTTAACACTTCAAAACGTCAAAGCATGCATTTTTATTCTGTTTTAAGTCCACATACTAGTTGGTTACTTGTTTAACTCATTAAACATGGCAAGACTCCACTTTTACCCATTAAGACTCAAGACTAAGGCTGATGAAGCTTACCCAAGCTCTAAACAGAAAAGCAAAGGCTCATGGAGCTCACCAAACAACTCCAACAATTCTGACTACCAAGGAAAACGAAAATACCAAGCAAGCAAAGTTCTTTCTTCACAAAAATTGCTCCTAGGAGTACCAACCACCAAGAAAAGGCTTCCACCACCCAAGTAAAGGAACTCAGCCCACAAAACAGACCTCACACAGCCCCAACAACCAGAAATGGAGCTCACAACACCCTCACCAAGGTAGTTCCCACTCACCCAAGGTATTTTGGTGAAGAAACTAGAGGAAAAGGTGGCAACTTGGTTGAGTTTCAAAGAGAGAAAGGCATGAGCATGGAGGAGGCTGGTCAGCAGCTCCAAGGTCTCACATAGGATTGCAAAATGACCTAGGATCATGTGCCACATTTCTATTTATAGTCACTTAATAATTAAACACACAGTATTAACATTAATTGCTACGCTTAGAATTTTAATCCCAAACTCAGGATTCTGAACCTACTCAATTTTACAAAATTTATCATATTTTTCTTATATTTTTCGCAGCACCTTTTCGGTACGCGCTTTTCCATAGCCAGTATCAGTTCTGGCACCAGTTCTCATTATTTTAACTTGAAACTCATTTTATAAGTCCTATATATTATTCTAGGAATATTCATGCACTTGTTATAATTTTCCGGGATACTTTATCAGTACGCATTTATATCGACTAGCAGAACCGGTATCTGCACTTTTCGTCAGAAAAGCGACTTTTAACATTATTACTCACTTACTATAATTATTAGAGCCTCATAATAATTATTAGGGTCAATTATGGAATTATTTTCTAATTTCACATAATTAATTAATTAACTTCCTTAATTAACGGTGCTGGTTCTTACACATCACACCAATATATTCAATGACAGAAATGAAGTATGGATGAGTGGCATGGAAATTACATGCAATGTGATCTCTACCATGCCTATTTCCAACTGGACCTACTTTAATCCTTATGAGATCAATCCTTAATTTTCTGCATACACAACGCAGAAACAAAAGCACAAAATATACACATTCAGAGGGAAAGTAACATCAAAAACTTTATTCTACAGAAAACACATATATTAATGCTTATGCATAGAACACCAACATAAAGAACTCTCACTAAACCATAGTGTCATCAAACAAAACAACACCCATATGATCAGTATGCTCGTGAAAGACCTTAGGCTCTAAGCATTTAGTAAGCAGAACCGCAAGCATGGAGTTCGTCCCTATGTGTTCTATAGAAATCTGACCACTCTGAACTCTTTCTTTAACAACCAGAAACTTTATATCGATGTGCTTCGATTTTTAAGAGCTTCTGTTATTGTTGGAGTACAACACTGCTGACTTATTATCACAATAAATCTTTAGCGGCTTTTCAACACCACTTACTATACGTAGCCCTATGATAAAACATTCTCCATTAGAGAGTTCATAGAGATTTTCAACAACACTACTTCATAGAAATTTTCTCCATAAAACATTCTGAAATTAGAGAGTTCAGCTCTAACATCAGCTTGATGAGACATAGGAGAAATCTCTCTATGAACTTGTTAGAGAGTTCTTCCCATGAGTTTATGGATCCAGGGGAGAGGGACTTCATCCAGATTTTGGATTTTGAGCCCAAAGAGTGAGGGAACAACCCAATTCTCATACTCTCTTCTATTACACTCTCATTTCTAAAATTATCACAAATATCTTGAAATTTCGTGAGGTGTGTGTAAGGATCTTCTGCAGGGAGTCCATTAAAGACTCCAGCCTCCCTGGTCATGTGAAACATGATGGGTTTTAGTTCAAAATTGGGAGCTACAGGGGGAGGATTACTCCTCTTTCTAGTCTGTTCCTTGAAGGAGCAGCCAAAGCTCTGAAGTTCTATTCAGGAGGGATCTCTTCATGGTTGTTATTGTGATCAGCTATGTTTGTTTCAAAAATATTTTCCTTGAGATCTCTTTTTCTCCTATGAAAAGTACGTTCTGGTTCAGGATCAAAGAAGAACTCAGGTATTTCAGTGGAGTGGTGAGAATCTGTTTCAGACTCTTCACTCATAAACCATAAAACACAGGTAATATGAACAACAGAATATGTGACAAAGAATTAATAAATGAACTAGACACAGAGTATGTACTTAAAACGGTAATAAGGACAGAATTTAGTGTACCTTTCCCCGGCAACGGCGCCAAAAACTTGTTGGATGTGAACTTGTTGGTTGCTTAAAATATTCTTATGAAGGACGTTCCCTCACTTTAGTTCATCAAGAGAAAACACATTCGTTCTCTTGACTTCAACCCAAGTGTGCAAGTGCACGCATCAAGTAATAAATGGGACTATTAGTGCCCAGATTATCGTTCTCACGAGGATAGTACTCTAATTAATGCCTTAGCTATTTTAAAAAGAATGAAAATGAGAAGAAAAGTTAGTAATTGACATGTTTGGTCAAACGTTCCCTACTGTCTTGACAACGTTCCTCAAGAATAGTAGGATCAATCTGACAGCAAACAGCTCCCCGTGTCGTTATATATGAAATCCTTCTTGTTGATAGTAGGAATGACAGTATTCATTGGAGATTTGTAGATACAAGATTGAATAAAGAAAATAACAAATAGTAATAACAGTATTTAAGAGACAACAATATGGAGTGATAAAACAGTTTTTAACACAAGGAACGGATCCACTGTTCCATTATAAAATAGCTATATTCTCTACTCAAAACTTGACACTTTTGGCTTTAATCAGGTCTTTTCACTGCCAACTCAGATTCCTCAGATCGTGGACTAAACGGCTCACAAGTTTTCATATTCCTATGGCTCCCTTGACTCCAACAGTTACTAAGCATAGGACCTTGTGTGAACGAGGTGGTCCCTTATTCCTAAGGCAACCAGCAGTGTTGTTTCCACAACACTGCCTTCCCTCTCTGGTTAAGTTGTCTGAAATCCCTCCCTTATGGAAGTTCCTTTCTCAGTATGCGTTCAATTTTCATTGATACGCAATGAATATAGCACATTTAACCAGAGAAATACAAAAGCTTCAGTACAAGGGTTTTGAAAATAGTTCTTTAAGAACTTCCCAGTTTACCGTTCCACAAATAGCTTAGCCCATGGCTACTACTTTAAACATAATTATTCCAAACTGAAATCCCATAGACCCGAAATTCAGTTCAGAGATAACGAGTGGAAAAGAAGATAAATAACACGTATATTTAATCAGAAACAAGTTAGGTTACAACAAAACGAAAAATGGAGAAGGATGATTGTTGCTCGTGAGGAGTCTCAAGTTGGTGATACAGAATAGAGAATAAGTCATTGTCACTTAACTAATGCTAAGACTATACAACTGAAAATATAAAACTATAAAATAAACTAAGTGATCTCTTCTTAAGCAATTCGATGATTTTCTTCGTGCTGGAACGTCCTATTTATAGGCAGAAGAGTGGATGGCAAAGCTTGTAATTTCCC